CCTAATTCCTGTCAGTCCTCCCTCCTCCTCCTATGCTCTCTCTACTGTGAGCAGATCATTAAAATAAGAAAACAGCTTCCTCATCATCCTCCGAACACCTGGGGGTGCGATTGTAATAAAACCATTATTGGTCCCACCATGGGTCGTCTCTCTGCTCCTCCACGAAATCTGGGAGCAAGTCGGCAAAATGAAAAGGGTTTCCAATGGCAACACTCTGAAACATGTGATTTCTATGTGTGTGTGTGTGTCACTCTGCTCTCTGTTGAGTTGGCTGTTGTGTAAAGCTGTGACACATGCGTCACTTTGTTTCCTGCGTCTCACAATATGAGATGTCTGCTTGTTAACGGCCTGATGTTGTTGTTAGCTCTCAGCCCTGACTGCTGTGAACTCTCACTCTGCTAATGGCTGTAGTGCTACAGTATGTAGTACAGTGTAGTACACGTAGACTTATTTTTTCAAATACAATCAATATAAATACCTGTGTGTGATTAACTAGGCTTGAATCTGAACGATAACAGCAGAACAAACCCTGAATGTTCTGGCCAAATTTGTGAATCCCTCTGAGTCTGTCATTCCACGTCTAATTTCCTACGTCGTTCTTTGTCCTGCAGGTCTCCTGACCCTGTGTGGCATCGGCCTCTACATCATCTACTCTTACGAGGCCTTGGCAGAGACAGAGAGGTTAGTGGGACCGGAGATCCTGGCCTACGTCAGCACCTCCTTCGGCTGGTCTGTGGGAATAGCCTGGCTCTCCTACGGCCTGGAGGTCCTGGCTGGAACTCTGCTGCTCGTTGCTGCACAGGTGGTGAGGAGGCAGTGCAACAGTCCCACCAGAGCCTGAACACAACCCCGGGTTGTGCAGGACCATCAGGGTGAACTGAAGTGTGCATGAGGGTGGATCTCCTCTGGACAAGGTAACCAGGATGTTCGGCTAATTTTGTTTTGTTTTTTAAAACGTAGAAAAAGACTGCTAATTTTGACACTTGGAACCCTCCTGTGGTGGGTGGTGATGTGGCTTCTTATGTCCTCCGAACATAACTCAGTGATTCTAACATCGCTGTTCTGATCCATGCTGAACTGAAATAAATTCTAAAAAACTACAAATCGTTTCATGTCCTAAAAAGTAACGCACATGTTTAACCTCACAAACAAAGAATGTGAATGTGTGTTAAATCTAAACGTTTGAAGTTTGGTGTCATATTGCTGTTTTTTCTATGTACATTAAACGTGACGTAAATGTTGGGTCAGAGTGACGCCTGCTGTCAGCCTTTCATTAGTGAATATTTTCGACATCTTTTCTGAATTTATGTTAATGTCATGATTCCCACTAGAACAGAAAGTTTGGTGCCTGTAAATGTTAAAGTAATTTACCAATACATTTTATGTTGTAGGCGATGTTCTTTAAGCTAATTCTCAGTTTTTTTGTTTTTTGCTAACATTTAGCTCTTCCTGAGCAAAATTCAGGTCATCTTCTGGGAAACTTTGCTTATTTTGCTAATTAGCGCAACATTTCTTGTTGAATTTTAATTGATTTGTTGCAGTATGTTAATATTTCTACTAAGCTACTTCTTAAAATATTGTATTATTAATAATATTGTTGTTGTTGTGCCAAAAACACCTAAGGTAAAATAATTAGAGAGATATCACAGAGGAATATGTATTTGGCTAACAGTTATCTAATCTGTAATCATTTACCTCACCATTAAATATAAAATGGACAAACATTTTTAAAATAAAAATGTGGCTCATTTGTGTGATGTGTTTTTCTAGAAAAATAACTATATTTCATAGAGGCTTTTAAACCTCATTATAACAGATTGAAGTAGATTTTTCTATTATACTAAAAACATATTTTCATCACTAAAGTCAGATACTGATTATTTATCACAGAGTGTGAGAGGAAAAAGGAAAAAGAGGATAAATGTTCCTCATCACTTCACCTTATTCCATCCTCACAGATTTTAACGTTTAACACCTGACTGGTGATAAATGTGATGCTGAATGTGTGATTCTTAAGACAGAGTGTGTGTTAGCAGCAGAGCGGAGCCCTGTGTCCACAGTACCTATACAGTGTCTGAAGGAAGTGAAAGGGAGCTTTTGTTTGTCTTTTTTGTCTTAAGAGTAACAGACTGCTCTCTGTGCCAGAGACTCATACGGAACTGAAAGTCACTTATGATTACCAAACAAACATTTTAGAATCTTTCTAAAGTAGTTCATCTTGTATATTTATATATGTGTGGTGAGGTGTTAACACCAAGGATAGAAGGAAACAGCAGATGCAGTAAACACTCTCCAATCAACACTTTCATTTGCTTTTCCGGTTCGACTCTGGAAAAAAAAAAAAACCTCTCACTTTAATCTTCATGATCATAATTAGGACTTATGACATAGCATAATGAAAGGCACTTTCAAAGAAAAACAAACCTCAAACAACTTCCTATTGGGTTTAGAATATGGCTCCAAAGTACATTTTGTAACACTGACATGATACACACAACCACATTCAGCATCACATTTATCAAGTGTTTCTTTTTTAAGCAGACCTTTGGTGATGCTGCAGAGCCACTTTGCAATGCATGTAATTGTAAGATGAATGACTTTCCTAGTGTTCATTTAACACTGCAAACCTGTGCCTTTCTAATAATGTCTTCTTACGTTAGCTGCACCGGTTTTGTGTACTTTTCTGCCACCAATAATGTCTTCTTACGTTAGCTGCACCAGTTTTGTGTACTTTTCTGCCAGACCTCCTTATGTAATACTACACTTACGTTTTGCAATATATCATGTGAAGTGAAAGTGAATTATTTGTCATTGTGACACAGCACACCACTGCACACAACCAATTGTGACCTCTGCTTTTAACCCATCACCAATGTGAACAGTAGGGGAGCAGTGTGTGTGGACGGTGCCATGCTCAGAGCACCTTAGTGGAAACTTGGCAGCTGGTGGACTAGAACCTTCCGGACCACTAAGCTTAACCTTAACCACTAAGCCGCCACTGCACATGTGCCCATGTGCTTATCTTCCAACCTCTTCCCTGAGCTAAAACTAACAAAGTGACAATAACATCATCTGTGGTAATGTTTTGTGGTAAAAGACCTTCTGTTTGATAATTTAGAGTTGTCCTGCTCTAAGCAGGAGTGCCAGATATTGCTGTCTGTGGCTTATTACAGGTGACTGTATTAAGAAGCACTTGTAGTAGTTAAAATGCTGCAGCCACGTGACTCATTTGCTTTCTAATGTGCTTTAGTGAAATTGTTTGTCTCTAATGTATTTTCGCAGGTTTACCTCTTCAGGTCCTGCAGTTTGACTCCACTGTGCTTTACAACCTCCCTGTTGTGCAGACAACAGACCTGTTTATCCTCCAGTAATCTCCCTCCGTACTGCTTCATACCAAACACACACACCCTCAACATCGGATTGTGTTATGGGAGGGTTTCTTCCCTGCCATTGAGTACGTGAGTGTGCGCGCGTGCACGTGAGACTAACTGCAACAAAACCACTCGCGATTTAAATCATAAACTGTACAATACTGTACTCTAGCGGCTAAATTTTGTAACTACATTTTGTTGTATCTGTCCATTCGCCAAACAGTCAAATTTATATTTCGCTTTAAGCCATATTATTGGCGTTACTTTTTATTTTGTTTTAATGCTTTACCAGTAAAAACGTAAATTCTCAATTTTGCCAGAGAGGTGGGTTTATACTTTTCTAATTCCTATTTGTACCTCTGGGGAGTTCCCTCCGGGGAACCGGAGGAGGGCGCTCCTTTGACCGGAAATGTCGTGGTTCTGCAGCAGCCTCTGAAGCAGTGGGCGTTTTTTATTCTCGTCTCAATCTCAACCATCTTGATTCCAAAGTTTTTTCCTCGACCTGGGTGTTGCCTCTCTGATTTACGACTCTGGAGCTTTCCGGTGTAGGGGAACGAAGACGTAATAATTCGGAGTACTTTTTAAAAACGCCACAATTTTAAACTTTACGTTGGCGAACCTTCGATGCTCGGTTACATTGTCTTTATTTAAACTGAACACTTAGCTTAGCTTAGCCAACCGTTATTTTTTCCAGAGGGGGAGAGAGGCCGGGAAAAAACACGGGAAAAAGCGTGGAAAGCGACGCCCAATGCAGGCCATTAAGTGTGTGGTGGTGGGGGATGGGTGAGTCAAATTCTTTTTAATTCTTTCTGTACTTGGGTCATTTTAAAGTCCATGTTTGGTCCTCGCGGTTGAATTGTTACTATTTAACTCCCGGCTGTGTTTGTTTGACCCAGTTAGCAACAGTTGGCTAGTCCTGGCTGTACATGCTAGCAGCGACAGCTGCTGTTGTTGTCGAGCCGCTCTGCGGTGCAACTGCTTCGGACACATTTATCCGTGGTGTCGCTGCGGTGTGACAAACATGTCCTCGCAAGGCTACTTTTTAAATAATGACCATATTATATGGAACGTCCATGTTATTAAAGGCTTAAAATGTATGCATATTCAAAACAAGCTTTCACAAGTGTTGAATAACTCTGTACCGGAGTAAAGATAAAAAGTTTATTCAAAACAGTGCTTGCATTTTATGGGTCAATAATGTAGCTCCATTGACAATTTTGAAAAAAAAATATTTAGGACTTCTTTTTATAAGGTCTGTGGGTATTTTGTAGTGAAATAATCGAAACTTATTTTTTGTTAGGGCCTCCAAGGTCTTTTTTATATGTAGCCTTAAGGAAACACGGTTTGAACCCTTGGATTTGAACTTTTTCTTCCCACCATTAAAAGAGATGGTTTAAATGAAGAGATGCCGCTTTTGTTTTTTTAATCTGCCTTTTGACCATCTTTTTGAACAGGGCTGTGGGTAAAACATGTCTTCTTATCAGCTACACCACCAACGCCTTCCCTGGAGAGTATATCCCCACAGTGTAAGTCACACACATACCCATCAGTAAATATCAGCTTAGATTTTGTGCTGGGTCTAAGGTCTGAAAATCTACCCTGTGTTCTTAACAGTTTCGACAACTACTCTGCCAATGTGATGGTTGATGGGAAACCAGTGAACCTGGGCCTGTGGGACACAGCAGGACAGGAGGATTACGACAGACTCAGACCTCTGTCTTACCCACAGACTGTATGTATACAAGCTTTTTGTGTCTCGTTCATTCTACTTGTTTCTGTTCACTGTCCTGCACAAAATAGCCAGACCATGTTAGCATGCACACTGTGTTTCACTTTGCCAGCCTTGATTGTTATTTATTCTCTGGCCTGTAATTCTTAAGACAGAGTGTGTGTTAGCAGCAGAGCGGAGCCCTGTGTCCACAGTACCTATACAGTGTCTGAAGGAAGTGAAAGGGAGCTTTTGTTTGTCTTTTTTGTCTTAAGAGTAACAGACTGCTCTCTGTGCCAGAGACTCATACGGAACTGAAAGTCACTTATGATTACCAAACAAACACCAAAGCAGAGTTCTATTTTAGAATCTTTCTAAAGTAGTTCATCTTATATATTCATATATAACAAATAATGAACTATGTAAACCTCTCTCCGTTTTTCCCTTTTTTCAGGATGTGTTCCTGATCTGCTTTTCACTCGTCAGTCCAGCTTCCTTCGAAAATGTTCGTGCCAAGGTGAGAAAAAGTTTTCTAACAACAACGTTGTCAATGCACGGCCGAGATAACTGTAACGTGTTTTCTTTATATATACTCTGGATAGTAAGTCTTTAACATCAAGTTTTAAATTCTTCTCAATCTTGAAGGAGCCGTTTCACAAAGGATGTAATGAAAAAAAGTGTATAGTCTTTGCTGTCTACAAGTGAGCAATACAAACAAAGACAACATTAGAGTCTGGAATGCTGCTGCTTTGATTCAGCTCTATGTAGATGTTACTTTCTTAGTGCTATTGCTATTTGAAAGTACAATTCCCTGCCTGTGTTTAAATGGTTTCAAAAACGATAATTAACAAAATAATTACAACACAAACCTTTTTTATGGTATGTGTGTGTTTTAAAAAGGAAAAAAAGCCTTAATGTTTGTTACATTATATAAAAGGTTTTAATCATTTAATTTATTTTCTTGCAAAAAAGTTAAAAGATATTGATAAGTGTGTATTGCAGTTTGAGGGACTTCCTTAAAAGCCACATCATGTTAAGTTTGGAAAAGGTCCAGGAAACTGAAAAAGAAAGAATGCTGTGACAACACACCCAACATTCCACACACTGCACTGTCCTATTTGCTGCACACTGACTCTGTCCTCTTCCCCCTTGTCTTCAGTGGTATCCTGAGGTGAGACACCACTGCCCCAACACACCCATCATCCTGGTGGGTACCAAGCTGGACCTGAGGGACGACAAGGACACAACGGAGAAGCTGAAGGAGAAGAAACTCAACCCCATCACCTACCCTCAGGGCCTGGCCATGGCTAAAGACATAAGTCAGTTCATGCTTTTTTTTTTTTTTATTGTCCTATATGTTAATAGATTTGTTTTACATTATTATCTTTGGATTGAACTTTTTCTTTTTTTTTGGTAATGGTAGTAAGTAATACGGCAGTGTAAAGGCAATACAGAGACCAAAAACGTATTTGAAGTGGCCACATGTATTTGTATGTGATGTGTGTTTGGGGTGGGGGGAGCAGAGTTCAGAGTCCTTATAGCCTGAGGAACAATTAAAATAAACCGACTGTTTTCTAATAATTTATTTGCATTAATAAAAGTTATATAATACTTCCTAGCTTCATCCCTTCATAGCTGTTTTATTATAATTGTCCTTAAAAAAAGAATAGTCTTTATTGTCATTGTAACATGAGTGTACAACAAAATTGATTCATGTTGCTCAACCTTACAAGTCAATTTACTGCAAAGAACTATTTTGTTTGTAATTTGTTTTCAGTTGCATAATGTTAAGAGGTTCCTTCCACTTCCAGGTGCAGTGAAGTATCTGGAGTGCTCGGCTCTGACGCAGCGTGGCCTTAAGACAGTGTTTGATGAAGCCATCAGGGCGGTGCTGTGCCCCCCGCCTGTCAAGAAGAAGAGGAAAAAGTGCAGTATACTGTAGTGGAGAACCAGAGGGAGGAAGAAGAAACGGTTCCATTCAGAACTCACCCAAGTACATCACACGGAGAGGGGAAAAAAATCACAATGATGATGATGATTTCTGGGATTCCCATTGAAATCATTTGCTAAAAAATCTCAGATTTCACATAGAAATGTAAAAGCCTCCTGAATTCAGGCTTTAGTTTGACATCGTTTCCTGCGAATTAATCGTTAATTCAGCACAATTTTAACTCGGTCCCTTACTCACAAGCCAGAATTCCCGCTGCCTTGATAAAGAATTTTTGAAAAGAAAATTCTCTCCTTTTTATTTTTAAAAACCTTACCCGTTTACATGCTATTTCTGAAGCAAAAAAGAAAAAAAACACTAATCTTGATTTGTTCTTCCATCAGTGCAGTTTTTTTAACACTCGGATGCCGCAAAGACTCACGTGTTGTAGCCGCTGGCAAATCGAAGCTAAACCAGCCGATAGTTAGACTGTGTAACATCTAGTTTTCTTCTCCTTTCTAGATTAAACTTGTCGCTCTCTTCACACTGTGCTTTGATCTTTCAGGCTGCGTTTATTCACTCATGTTGTTATTAACGGTGTTTAACCCTTTCCTTTCTACATCCTCCTTTTGCGTCATCATATGAAGTCTACGGGCCGGTGTATGAGCACTTGAAGGTTCTAACTCATATCAAATGTTTCCATGTTGATCAATGTAACAGGGAATGGTCAGCAAATTTTTCTTTTTCTTTCTTTTTCTTCTTTAATCGAGCGGTGATCAAACAGCTGCGGGAGTCAAATTATCACTGTAAATCTGAAGTCATGTGATCAGTGTTTCTGAAGGCACAAAAAGGAAGTGCACACTACTTTCATGCTAAATGTGGTTTCATTTTCATATAGTAATATGCTGATTTTTTTTAAAGCAAAAATAAATTCTTTGAAAAATCAGTATTCAGTATCTTCTGTTGCAACAATGGAAAAAAGAAACCAACTGTTGAAAAGCAAAAATAGAAGCTAGAGTTTTATTTTAATTACGTTCCAGGTTGACTCCTTGAATGGTATTTGGATCAAAGAGGAACAGAGTTTTAAAGTGTCACATTAACTAATTATAATAGGGAGGACTTTAATTAATCATTAGTCATCACAAGTAAAAAAGTTAGAGAACCATCTGTTCTGAGAAAAGGTCAAAGATGACTAAGCTATCACAAAAGCAGCTCAACATATAAAGATGGTAACAAATGTCACTGCTGTTCATCATTTCTTAAAGTATTTGCACAATTTAACTGTTAGTTGATTTCATTTGTGATTTGTGTAGATAAATCTGATGGATCCAACGTGAGCTCAGGATCTTTCAGCTTTCCACTGTTCATACATCAGCTTAGCAGAAACAGCATCTTCACAACCCATTCCTGGTGGGAAAAGAACCTTAAAATCAGTTTCATATGAAACCAGAAAAACCTGATTTTGGAGTTATGGAGAATCCATGGATCAGCCTTACCCAGAGATTTGAACACCGTCGTCTTCTCTCTCAGAGCAGGTTTTTTCCCACTGATGACTTCACCTATCTCTGCAAATACCTCCACCTAAACACAATCAAATATTTGTTTATACCACATCTACATTGAGTTAAACTGATACATTTGGTCATACGTTAGGTGACACAGCATTGTTGAAAGACAAAACAAAACAATTCCTTCTGATGTGTTATCTCCATATAACACTGCCCTGATCTATAAATTATTTTTAAGCCTATCCAAATTGACAGTTCATTTTGATTAAGTCCTACTATTAATTGGGGCATTGAAGTATTTATTAATGTTTATATAAAGGTATAAAGAAGTATTAGTTCATATTAATTTATCATGTTTTTATTAGTTGACCATTTGTGATGACCATTTAGCCACAGCTAACACCCTGTTTAGATTTCTTTTAGCTCACACTGTTCTTCTGGGAAAATGAAGAATTGCCAAAATGAACACTGCTGTTGAAGATGACCCCTGGTCCTGCCTTTAACTTTGATGACAAACACCCAGGAACTGACCCCAGAGAGAATGACATCACCAGACTCCTCCATGGCTCCGGCTCTACTGTCGACGTACAACACGGACTCCTTCATCAGCACGTCGTCCAACTCTCTATAATCAGGCCTGCAGGCTCCTACAGCTGCGCAGGAGGAGGGAGGAAGGAAGGAAGGAAGAAAAGAAGGAAGCTACAGTGTGAGTCAGTACATGATACACTGATACAAAAAACATCACCTGAAGAGAACTGTCACTATTTTACTCTCACTATTATGTTAACTCTATAATACAGGTTGAAAACCCACTCCTCTATTCAGAACCTGTCCTCAGATTATTAAAAAAAAAGAAAACAGTGATGTTGTGTGTTGTTGTAAACAAGGAGACCACGTGTACGGTGAACAGTCTCTATGAGTGAAGAAGTGAACTCAGAACAAAACCTTAAATGTGTAGAAACGAGCTGCTACCATTTGGGACATTCTCCTTCAGCTACTGTCTCACCAGAACCACTGATAAACAGCTTTAACCAACAAAATGTCATCATTTGTTTCCAATAATAATCTGAATAAGAATTCCTATCCAAAGACCTGGTCACGGCTCATCTCCTCACCTGCTACGTGGGCTCCTGGTTTGACCCACTGCCCAAACAGCACCGGCTCAGTGCATCTGGTCACCGTTATGATGACGTCTGCTCCTCTCACTGCCTCCTCTGCAGAACTGTAGACCTTCACTGGGCCACGGACTGACGTGCTGAATCTCTCAGCGTTGTCTTTTGATCTGCTCCAAACGCGGACCTAGGGCCAATGATGTTTGAATTGGAAGAGAATCGAATAATTTACTACAGATAAAAAAAGTCATCTTCTAACTCGATCACCTCTTTGAAGGGGAATATTTCCATAAAGACGTTGTAATGACTCAGAGCCTGTCTGCCTGTTCCCAGGATGGTCAGAACCTCAGCATCTGGACGCATCAAGAGCTGCATGATGGAAACACAGCATCAACAATGATTGGTAGGCGTCGGACTGAAGGCATCTCTGCCTTATTAGTTCCATAACATCCTAATAATGTTTCTACTTTATTACTAATACCACATTTTCAGTTCAGTCAACTTCCTGTTGATCAACCTTTCAGTCCCTGGAAAAAACACTTTCTGAATTATTTTTATTTTTTATTTTTTAAAGCTCTAGCTGAACCTTGGCAGAGATTGCAGAGACGGCAGCTGTCCTCATGGAGGTGATGACCTCTCCATCTATGACCTGTACAGAAGAATGTTAAGTCTTATGTTTTTTGTTTTTTTTTTGTTGCACAGATTCATGCAGATGTGTAGCAGATCTAACATGAGCTGTTCACTCACAGCTTTGACGTTCCCATATTCTGGATCCAGCAGCAGCACGGTGGACTGAACTCCTGGTAAAGTGGATCCAGGTTTTCTCTGGTAAAAGCAAACCACCTTCGTGCTCAGGATTCCATCGTTCTCCATGTAGGCCGGCATCAGGCCCATGACTCTGTCAGGTCAGACCAGTCTGTTACTCTTAAGCTGTGTGTGACTCAATCATCACTGTTTGAAGCTGAAAGCAGTTTCAGGTCTACAATCTGTTTGTAAACCTCTCACTCAGCTACACTGAAATCCATACAGACAATTGGTCTTATTTGTAACCTCAGTGTTTGATTAATTGTTTTAAATTCAATTTTAATTTTAGATTTACCTCAGTGACCCAAACTGACCACAAGAGGGAACAGCAGACCTCCGTCTGCCGTGTCACACCCGTAACTACCATTTTCTCTACGGATCGCAGACTTGTGCATATTTTTTGTTTAGGTCTGAATAACTTGCTAAAATAAACGTAAAGCTGCCATTTAAAATAAAAACCTCCAGGTTCTACAGTCCCGCTGCGGTCGTACCCAACATGTTTCTTCAGGGCCACGCTGCTACGAACAGGCTGCAGGACCTCAGCGGTGTCCCCGCCGGAGAACTTCGCCAAAGCCGCTTCTAAAAGCGGCATCAGTGCACCATAAGTGAGAAGGTGTTCCACACCAGAGCCCCACAAGAGAACCGGAGGTTCGGCCATTACGCATTGGAGTGTACCGGACAGGACCAGAAGCTTCTAACCGTCAGGCCAGGACTGAAAGTGAGTACAGAGTCATCGAGTCCAAGGGTTCAAAGTAAGCTGCGTTCAGGATCAGGAATTTCAATAGGTCACAGAGAAACCGGTCTGGAACATACTGTACGTAAGGCTTGTACAACTGTGACCATTTTAATACAGCAATTTAAGTGTCGTTCGTTTACTTGCTGAAAGAATATAATCCCACTAGGTTTTGAAAGATGTAGGATTCGTTATAAAAATTTTGAATAGAAAAAAAAAAGCATTGTCACTATTTTGGCACTTATAGGTGCAGTGATTTATCACAGCAATGTGATGTGGCTTGATTATATTTGATCCATCATGGATTCAATGGAACCATGTAGGCCACACTCCACTATTAATCGTAACGTACCCTGTAGGGTTTTCTAACCCTTTCTTTCTGTCTTATTTGGTTTACACAAAACCTTCCTGTAGCTAAATCTATCTGTTACACATCTGTATATCCTATATGTTTGTGGATGTTGGTGTAGCCAAGTCCTTTCACATTCATTTTGTCAACTAGTTCACCTTTGGGCAAAAAAGTAACAGAACACCAAAGGCAGCTTAGTTAAAAAAGGAGTTTATTGTGAATCAAGTGGTGCATCAGGGTCCTCCAAAATAAAAAAACATTCTTAAAAATAAAAAAGTCATTATTCACCATGTAAAACAACTCATTGATTCAAAAACAAAAACATTGGATTATTTTAATCCAATGTTTATCTAAGATGGAATAACTCTTCTCCTTTCTTCCTGAAGACTCTGCTCACATCAGTGCAGTCCAGCTCAGACCAACAGTCTCTCTATTGCCATCTGAACTGACTGGATCTGCGGCTTGAGTTGAGATCCCTCCTTTATGGTGACTGAGGTAGCAATGACAGGGCGGGACACCCCACAGGCTCGGCCCAGGGCCTGTTTGGAGCGAACAAAGACATAGGGGACATTCTTGTCTTCACAGAGCAGTGGCAGATGGAGAATGATCTCCAGTGGTTCAGCATCCGCTGCCATGACGATGAACTCGGCAATACCTCTGTTAAGAGATTTTGTGGCTGGAACAAGGAAAAAAAAAAAGTATTTTTCCCTAATGTTGACATTATGACTGAAGAAGTTCAAGCACCATATTATGCATCATGTTTTTTTTATAAAATAAAAACTCAATGCTGCAACAACTGCAAAAACATGTTGAGTGATCTTGTAAAGTTGTTAATAAAGTGCGTCCTCACCCTCGTTAGCTCCCTTCCTCAGCTGACTGTAGCTGGACGCCTGTTGCACCAGGTCCAGGATGGTTTTGGTCAGCGTGGCGTCGGCCAGAGGGTAAGCCTTTGGGTTTACTTGAGCTTCGGTCTGAAAACGGCAAATAACGTTTTAGTAGTCAAGACAAATTATGATTGTGAGCTTATTATATCTAAAATACATTAAGAACCGTTTCAAGCTAGTTGTACTGCGCATTTCTATGTCCCCAGCATGTATGAGCAGTTAGCTACTATGTTAGCATAATAGTGAACACTCACCATTTTTTACCAGTTTTCCTGTTCTCTGCCCTCTCGGCGAAAAGCTTCACGGAGGAGTGACTTTTCCTTCTTACTTGAGTTTAAAAACGGAGCGAAGGAAGTTTTTTTTACAGCTTTTAGCAAAACGTTTTATATACTGCGGAGTCTCAGAGTTGGTGCAAATGCAGTCACTTCAAATTAAACGTTCGCCACACGTGTAAATGGACGCGCATGCGTTAAAGATGAGAAAGACCGGAAGTAGTAGTCTTGTCGGTTGTACTGTTATCAAGAGACAGAAATCAACACATTAAAGTGAACTTATTGGCAGTGGATCTTAATAATTTAAATATGCAATAAACGAAATACTACTTCCAATGTTGAATACAAATATAATGTTAAATATTTTAACAAATCCAGAGGGTAACTTTTTGTATTACTTACAAAATAATAAATTACTACCTAAAATTGTTACACGTGTTACTAAGTCTGTTTACCTTGTGTTAGTGTTATCAGTTATATATGTATGTATATATAAACGGACTTATATATATTATATTATACAAGAATACAAAATAAATAACTTGATGCGAACGGAAAACGTAGTTCTTTGCAAAGCTTTGTCAATAAAATAGCAGTATGTGAGCACACTTTATATTTATTAAGGGTATAAAATCATTTACATTAATATGATCTACACGGAATAAAATTCGAAAAGTAATAATACAAGATGGTCAAACGAAGGGAAACAAGATCCGCGGAGAAAATTGTTTGGGCTTTTTTTTTTTTTTTTTTTTTTTTTGTGTCAAAGAATAGACTCGCAAACTCTAAGATTATTTATCATGTCTCATCTGATTCGAGTAAAATTCCTTTTCCTGGTAACTGACATGCTTCACTCCGCGAGAGGGCAGTCGTACTGGGACTGCTCCTTGTAGCACACTAATATATTTCGAGCGAAGTACAGCAGGACCTCGCGGGGCATGCTGGGTAGGGCACATTGAGCAGCGGCCATATTTATTTCATCGTCCGATTTGAAGGAGAGAAGGGAGATGAAGGGGATTCGGGGAATCAGTCAGCTGACAGTAAGAAAGAATATTGTAATTTATGAAGTATATTTTATGATAGTAGAATATTAGGACCAGCCGTTCGGAGTTTATTTGTTTAAAAAAAGAGTGCGAATGCCGGTGTCACGGCAGGTCAAGCTGTGAAGAAACACAGGAAGAAGCTGATCCAAGCGTGATTTTAGCCAATTTTAACAGTAAATTATGCACCAATTGGCAGCTTTGAAATAGTAATATCAGCCCATTTACCCAAGTCAATGAACTACTATGACCCAAGCTTTAAATGTGAAGTGAAGAGCATACTGCTCGTGTTAGCATCATAACCTCCTCAGCTGATGTGGCTAACGTTTGTTGTCTATTAGATAACTCTTAGAATATTATAAATGTACATGTAGTAAACTTAAGCTAATCAAATATAGGTTATATTGTTTATTTTTTAAAGAGGATGTAGGAAGTTTACGTACGTTTTTGAATAACGAGCAGATTTTCAAAGTAAACGCCCCCGTGGTTTTTAGAACGTAAATTTTCACTTTTCAAGTCATTTAAGCAATAAATTCACCCTTTAATAAACATTATTGAAAACATTTTAAAATCTTAATATGTAAAACGATTCCTCTAAATAATTGACTTAAAACCTAACCTGAAGTAAATTTGATAGCTGTGTTGTATAAAATGAGTTACTTCCTATGTCATGTTATTAGAAACCATTTTTTAATGTTTTGTGTTTCATTGTTTTTTCCAGTCAAGACTCTATGGAGCCCAGGCTGCACGTTACGTGGATGCAGCTTTTAAGTTTCAGCCACAGGATGTGCAGGTCAGTGCTGAGTTTAGAGTCTTATACAGCTGCCAGAAATGTGAATGCCCTGATGAATTTGTGTTGGAAAAAGTTCTCAAAAAAAATCATACCCTGTGATATCATAAATTGACCAAAAAAAAAAATGGCTGAATGGCAGAAATGGCTGAGCACACTTGTCTCTAACATCTTTGTTCTTCTTTGCAGGTGACCAAACTGTCCAGTGGTCTGGTCATCGCCTCACTCGAGAACTATTCTCCTGCCTCCAAGATCGGAGTAGTTGTTAAGGCTGGCTGTCGTTATGAAACACCTGAGAATCAGGGAGTCACTCATCTGCTTCGCCTGGCCTCCAACCTGGTAATACACTAAATAAAATATTGAATAATATATAAAATATACAATATATTTCAAATGTGACAAAAACTGTACAGAATAAACAAACCTGTTGGTGTATGTCATTTTACTTTTCTAGACAACCAAAGGAGCTTCAGCTTTTAAGATATGTCGTGGTGTTGAGGCCGTGGGAGGTAGTCTGAGGTCAGTCACTGCAGAGAGAGAGGCTCATTAAAAATGTCTGCACACAGGTTATTGTTTTTCTAATCTTAAATTTTATTTTCCTGCAGCGTGGCTTCAACCAGAGAAGACATAATATACAGTGTCGACTGCCTGAGAGATGACTTGTAAGTATTTGTGATGCATTTGCAAGGTTTCCAAAATGTCTCCTGCGACAGCTCTGCTTAGCATTATAGAATGTATGAGGTTATTAAAGCCACACCCTGCATCTTCTTCAATATTGTGGTGCTAAAGCAGAACTGTGTTTAAATGCCACATATTAATGTGAAAATTACCATACGGTATGCTTCAAAGTGAATAAGAAGATGTGAAATACTCCAATAACTGCTGGAAGCTGGTGCATCTTAGGTCTGGTGCAACAGCTCAAGCCTTACAAATCAAGTTAATTTGAAGGTGGCAGGTCAGGTGATTTTCTGTCTTTGATTATAACTGTGATTGTCCTGCAGTGATACAGTGATGGAGTATTTAATCAACGTGACAACTGCTCAGGAGTTTCGCTCCTGGGAGGTGTCAGATCTCACACCCAGAGTGAAGATGGACAAGGCTCAGGCTGCATTAAACACTCAGATAGGTCTCTCATCACACCTCACATCATGACTCCAGTTTAGGTTCAATGTTACAGCACTGCAGACAGCAAGTGTCTCAACTTTGTCTCTTTTTCCAGCCGTCACTGAAGCTCTGCATGCAGCTGCCTACAAGAACGCCCTCTCTAACTCTCTGTACTGTCCAGACCACATGGTTGGAAACATCCAGTCTGAACATGTGAGTAATGCACTTCTTCTAAAAAAGTGATAGTGTGACAATTATTGTGTTTTCATTTTTAACCGTATCCTTTTTTTCTCTGCAGCTGCACCAATTCGTCCAGAACAACTTCACTAGTGCTAGAATGGCTCTTGTGGGTCTGGGTAAGACATTTGTCCCTTCAGTTAGATGATAGGTAAAAGTTGACTACGATGATGTCAAGAACGTCAGAGTTGACAAACTATTCCACCTATTCCACAGGTGTTGACCACGGTGTTCTGAAGCAAGTGGGAGAACAGTTCCTTAATATCCGCAGTGGAGCAGGAACTTCTGGGACCCAAGCTCAGTATCGTGGAGGTGAGCTGTACCAACGAGTTTCATGTTGGTTACAGACACGTGTGTACTGCAATTTGATTTTTTTTAATATCTCCTGCTGACCTTTATCAGGTGAGGTGCGTCTGCCCAGCACCAGCAGTTTGGTCCACTCAGCTGTGGTCAGCCAGTCAGCAGCAACCGGAACCAGTGAAGCTCTGGCCTTTGCTGTCCTGCAGCATGTCCTGGGAGCCGGTTCATATGTGAAGAGAGGTTACAGCAGCACTAGCAAACTGATCCAGGGTGTTTCCAAGGTCACTGCTGACCCATTTGATGTAAGTTGCTACATAATAATAGAGTAAAAGGCCGGATTTTTGGACATCTCAATAAATTTTATTTTACCATCTTCTATAACAGGTCAGTGCTTTTAATGCGAGCTACAGTGACTCTGGCCTTTTTGGAGTCTATACTGTCTCCCAGGCTTCACAGGCTGGTGATGTGAGTTCACTTTGACATTGTCAGCAGTCTTTTCTTCAAGTCATCATAGAATTCGTTTAAGTGTGTTGTTGTGACCCATGTTTGAATTTCAGGTGATTAAAGCTGCTCTGGCTCAGGTCAAGGCTGTAGCTGACGGTGGAGTGACTGCTGCTGACCTCACTCGTGCAAAGTAAGAAATAGAGAACACACAGATTTAGTTGGTGGATCTTTTTGTGTCATTTGTAAAATAATTCATGAAAAATATTAACAGAAGTTCAGGTACCCCCCCATAAAACACTGTATTTAAAACACTTGCAAATGTAGCAAAACACAGCTTATGATGTCCAAATACAAAGCCTATAAAACGTTTACGCTCTAAGATGCTTACCCAGATGAATCATTTGTGATTTTTTTTTTTTTTTTGGAAATTATATGTTGTGTTGTCAACAATATTTGCAAAATGAATTTCTGCAACAATAATATAAAATCTCAAAGAATAAAAAAGTCCAAAATACTTAAGGTATGTCCGATAATATCAGCCGACCGGTAATATTGGCCAGATATTAGCATAAATATGCATAATATCTGTAAGAACTTTATTGTTTTTTCCTCTGATAATGAAAACCCAATAATGGGATTTCTTGGTTTGGCCAAATGTATGCTCTAAAAATTGTTTTCACCCATCACCTGAGTGAGCAGGCAACACTTAATTTTCTTAACCACTATATCGGTATTAGTTGATATCGAAACCAGAAAATAGGTGTTTGGACAATATCGGCATATCGGGATATTGGCAAAAAGTTATTATCAGAGATCCTTACTCAAAATGCATCACAAAAAATCCTAAATAATGTAACGTGTGTATAGTGTGTATAATTATAAAATTATAAAAGTGTGTAAAACATCATGACATCATTTGCAGGAAACTTAACACAAAATAACTTTTGTGGAAAAAAAAAAAACCTCTAAAATCACCTTGAAATGCAAGATTATGGCCTAAAATGTTTGCCCAGATAAATCATCTGTGTTAAATTTCTCAAAAGATCCTGTGATGTCAAAAACTGACAAAAAACACATACTGTGACTAAAAAAAATATTAAGCACTAAAAGCAGCTTGAGTTGATATTGTGTCGGCCTGTATTTACCCTCTGTCACTGACAGACTTCACCAACAGCTGTCGGTTGCTGTAAAATGTAAAATAAAGTTGGTTGTTGTTTGAATCTCCCCTGGTCTTTGACCCCTGATTGTGGTAACTCCAATTCTTCCGTGTGTTTGTGGTCAGGGCACAGCTGAAGGGTCACATCCTGATGTCTCTGGAGACTTCTGAGTCTCTGCTGGAGGCCATGGGCAGCCAGGCTCTGACGCAGGGTTCCTACTCCTCACCTGAAGAGGTCACCAAAAGCATCGACAACGTGTCTTTGACCGATGTGGCCAACGTAAGGCAGCAGTGACTTGATCGACTTTTAATCAAATGAAAAGCATGCTGTGTTATTAATATTGTCACCACTGGTTTTTCATTTTATTTCCAGGCTGCAGGTACATTTATATCAGGAAAGAAGACCATGGCGTCCTGTGGAAACCTCGTCAAGACCCCCTTCCTGGATGAGCTCTAAAGCCCCACCCATTGGCAGCCAGGCTCAGTTTTCTTTACAGTCTTTATCTGTAGTCAGTGTTCTGGTTCTGACAGTGAATAATGTCACCACAATACTCTATCACTGTACGTGTTAACTAAGGTGTCTGTTCAGCTGAGTCTGCTCCGATCATGTGACCATGTCAACTGTATAGCAGATGTAAAATAATAAACTCTATCAACCTCACATACACCTGGGATCACTCACCTTGTGGTTGTTGAAGTGGTGTTAAATTCTTACATATCCAACCATGATCTCTTGTTTCTCGTTGTCTTTAAATCATGGCAATTACCAAATCAATTCAATTGTTTTTGACAATTACAATAAGATTTCTGCTGAATTCAGTTTTGTCGTAAACCGTGAGCAGTAACAGTGGGTTTGCAGGTTTGATTCCCCCTCATCCATAGTCTTTAGTCCAGTTAAGAACTTTCAGTGATGAAACTCCAACTGTGCCGCCGCCTAATGAACGAATAACATGACAGTGAATCTTCTCCTGGATGTGAGGATGTTGTTGTTCTGAAAATGCTAACAAAATGTCCCTTTTTATTTTCCATATTTGTCATTTGTCCCATTCTTACAAAAAAGAAAATATTCATAAAAGTACAGAAATAGTCTCTTATTTGTCAGAAGCAAAATAACAGAAAGTGACTGTAACTTTCAAATTGTATAAAAAATAATAAAACAGTAAAACCTTTAAAATGTTTTAAACTGTTGACATTGTCAATAGATTGTTGTCCCTCCACCGCTGCTATTATTGGTTCTTTATTTACCACCTTGTATTAACTCAGGGTTTTGTGATGGATTACCTCCGTCTTAACGTTTGTTGTCTTCAGTCCACCTGTCTTCAGTCCACCTGTCTCCCCTGCAGTACACATGGACTGTTTATTCTCCACTTATTCTCCACTTTCACTGATTTTCATGTAACTAAAAGTAAAACATCAAACACCCCTTTCTCTTTTTTAATCAAAAAAGACAAACTGACTTTTTATGATTTTTTATACATATTTGCTTTCATTGTTTATAGGAATTTCTCTGAGGATTTCTTTTCCTAAAGTCATAACATCATTTTGACACCCCAAGAGTTTGTTGTTGTTTGTCTTTTGTAGAAAATATTTATCTGGGTTCGTAATTGTGGATTTAAACACGCATTTTTAGCAGTTTTTTAATTTTAGGATTGTTATAAGCCATAAGGCACAGATTTTACCCAGTGCTGGCCCTTTTAAAGCATAAACTTGCATGTTACTGCGTTTTTAGGGATTTTTAAAATATTTTTCACAAAACTGTTCTTTTCTTGGTTTCTGAGAATTATTTTCAAACAGGAGAGGCCTAATTGAAGGTTTTTGCAGGTTTCTATATATATATATATGTATATATATATATATGGGGTCTATATTTCGCCGTGAGCACCGCGAGTGCTCAGATGACGTCACACTCCGGTGACCCGCACACCTGCACCTGCTTTAATTAATCAAAACTTCAAAGAAGACAGTACCACCAATCGAAGCCGAGAATCGTAAATACTCTATACTGTATCAAAATGAAAGATGTTGGACAACGACATCCACACCGGAGAGGTGAGTCACAGTGTTGGAGAATTGTTGCCATGAGTGGCGTTTACATGACAGAAAACAGGTCCGTAACGCTAATTGTATACGTTCCGCTGCCACCAGCTACTGGCTAGAAATACACAATATTTACATACGACTACATAGTGGTACAGGGATGTTACAGGTGTATCGTTGACCACATAACCATAATATTACAGGTTTATCAGGTTACCATTACACTGCGTTTGAGGGAGCGGAAGGCGTTCAATTAAAGTAGGCTTAAAAGATGCCATTAGACCCAGAGCAGTTAAACAGTACGGTTGCAGAGTGAACACTTTTAACTCTTTCCTCAATTTTACCAACCACATAATAGATTATCATTGTTCTTTTTACAGCCACGTGCATGTTTTAACAGCGCCCCCCTCAGGTATGTGTGTTTGAAATGCACCATGGCACGTAATGTCAAAATATAAATCATCATATTTTCGGGGGAAATTGTTTTTTTCATGTTGCTCCTAACCTCTTCCAAGCAACATTTCATGCTGTCAAATGTGCAACTCTGCCACAAGGGGTCACTGGTGTAACAGTCAACGATCGTGTGTAAAAATGATTTAGTAATGTATTTATATGTTCAGTTTCAAGTGCAAAACTTGTGTTTGTGTTACGTTTCCGTGTAAGAATTCCATAAACTTTCAACATTAAATATTTGCTATCCTGCTGACAATAGAAGGCATAGAGACATGAGACTTGACTTTATTTTTCACAAATGAAAATGCACTCTCCTTACATTCCTTTCTTTCCTCATTTCTTACGTGAAGTTTCAGTTTTAGATAGTCTTAAACTTTTTATTTCAAGAGTCTTTGCGTTTTATGATTGGGTTTTATGACATTTTTGCCCTTTATAAAACAGGAAGAAGGGACTTGAGAAATAAACTCTCAGAGGGGAAATGTGACATTCAGACCGGCCCCAGGTCATGGTTTAACTCATTTGTAACTCTAAGTGAAAGTTTAATTTTTTAAATTTATAGTGTCCCACCAGTACAACCTACACAGAAACACATTTCTCACTGTTGAACATCCATATGCACATTTGGTTAAAGGTTGCAGCGGAGCATCAGCATCACTAGACATGACACTGAGGATGTGACTGTGTGTGAAGGTACCAGTGACAGAGGACCAGAGCACACCAAACTGTTTAAATGTTAACAATGTCTAAAACTAGTGTCTGCCCTGACATGAACCCTACCACTAATTAAGAAGAAAAGGTGTGTGCGTGTGTGTTTATTATATAATTGAAGTGTACAGTGTGATTGGCCACCCCGTGTGTGTTCCCAGCACCCTGGTGTGTCTTGCAGCCTGAGCCCCATGAGTTATTGACCTTTGGTGAGCAGACGAGCTGCTGTCACTAATTGTTTACCACCACATCCTGTTTCTTCACCGTGAATGTTTTATTTTAAAAAAATCAACAGCTCAGCAACAGTTCCAGTGATGCTCCATGTTTATGGCTTTTAAGGTTGTTTATTTCTATTTGACTTTGTTCTACAGCATTGTCCTGTAGATGGGATAAATATCTATCCATTCTTGTATGTGCAGTTATACTATAAAAACATATTTTGATGAGTAATACATGGTGTATTACTCATCATTTCTGCCCAGGTAAGACTTCCTGTCTTCTAGGACACTACCTCCTCCACTAAGACCCAAATCCTCCTCCCCTGTGTGTTTTGACCACGCCCTCTCTGTGTAAACAAGGGTAAATAAATAGGGTCAAATGTCAAAAGACGGAGAGGCTTTTCTGGCAGGAGAAAGGAATAAAATCGCCCAAAAAACTGAAATAAAAGGAGAGAAATGAACACGGAGACGATTAACAACTTACTTCCCATCACCTCTCCTCACCCAATTAACTTTCCTAATAAATCACCCAATCTGGCGGTCGGTGACGTCAGATTACTACAACCAATCCAGATCCTCGTTTCCTCTCTTTCCTGTTAATTATCTTTCCTTGCAGTCGCTGTCCTTTCAGCACCACCTCACTGTGCACCCTGCCTGCTCCAGGAATAGTCTGTTTAAACTCAGTCACATTACCAGGGATTACCCTCACCTGTGTTCACCCTTCATCCGATTTTCTGCTCAGAATTTTCTCGACGTCGTACTGCTCAGATATGCAGCCACACAAAAGTGGCTGAAAGCGATGTTTTTTTTTTCTTTTTTCACCCGTTCACGGCGCGCTTTTACGCCCCAAACTCCAGAGCGACTGTAGCCAAAGAGAGTCGATGTTTTGATTTCAACCACGGCCCAGCTGTTA